AGAAAATGGGGCATGATCGATTGCAAGGATCAAGATCGGTAGACAAAGCACAAGACTCCGTACAAGGCTAATTCATATTGCATGCATCTTAGACATACTTAAGAGCATTACATTTATCATTTTTCACATGCATAATTTTTTGCAGCTTTCAGAGTCCAGTTTTGACTTCATGACGAAAGATACTCGATTCGAAAGTTCATTTAAAGATCAATGGTGGTTGTTTGACTCAACAGTGAGAAGCTACACCTTAACCGACTTGACATATCTACATATCTTAGAATCAATTTCAGATGGGTTCAAGAACAAATCCAGAACGAATCCATATCATCTTAACTTAATAATGAGTAGCAGGTTTCCACTTAACATTTTCAAGCCAGATTTCAATTCCACGACGAAAAATATCCGGCTGATAGAATTTATCAGTGGGCTTTCCTGTGAAGGGGAGTCATCCAAAAATCATATTACTTGGTTCAGACCCGCTCAGATTATGACCGGCTTAGACCCATGAAAGGAAGCCATTTTTTAAAAAAACAATTGGTAGCATAACTCAAGGCTAGAAGGGTTATCTGCCAACCAAAGACCTTTGAGTTCGACTACGCTCAGCTCCAAGGCACATCATTTGCAATATAGCCCAAGGCAAGAAGGGTTATTTGCCACCAAAAGACCTTCGAGTTCGACTACGCTCAGCTCCAAGGCACATCATTTGCAGCATAACTCAAGGCTAGAAGGGTTATCTACCAACAAAAGACCTTCAAGTTTGACTACGCTCAGCTCTAAGGCACATCATTTGCAGCATAGCTTAAGTCGAGAAGGGTTATCTTCCAACCAAAGACCTTCGAGTTCGACTACGCTCAGCTCCAAGGTACATCATTTGCAGCATAACTCAAGGCTAGAAGGGTTATATGCTAACAAAAGACCTTCGAGTTCGACTACACTCAGCTCCAAGGCACATCATTTGTAGCATAACTTAAGTCGAGAAGGGATATCTGCCAACCAAAAACCTTCAAGTTCAATTACACTCAGCTCCAAGGCACATCATTTACAGCATAACTCAAGGCTAGAAGGGTTATCTGTCAACAAAGACCTTCGAGTTCGATTACAATCAGCTCAAAGGCACCATCATTTGCAGCATAACTCAAGGCGAGAAGGGTTATCTGCCAAATACCTTTGAGTTCGATTACACTCAACTCAAAGGCACCATCATTTGCAGTATAGCTCAAGGCAAGAAGGGTTATCTGCCAAAGACCTCCGAGTTCGATTACACTCAGCTCAAAGGCGCCATCATTTGCAGCATAGCTCAAGGTAAGAGGGGCTATCTGTCAACAAAATTGTCGAGTTCGATTCTATTCAGCTCGATGACACATCAATCACACTACTATCCGGTTGCAGTCGAGGTTTTCAAGTCGAGAAAAAGACATGGGTTAGCCGTGCCTTATTGACAATAAATCGTTTTTTCCGGCAGCATAGCTTAAGTCGAGAAAAGCTATCTGTCAACGAAGACCTCTCGAGTTCGATTTCATTCAGCTCGAAGGCCTATCAACCACATGGTGGAGTCAATGAACTACTTTCCAGTCAAATTTTTAACCAAGGTCTTTAAACTGAAAAAAGACGAAGTTGACTATAATTTGGCAACAAGAAGCCAAGTTCCAATTCAAATTTCGAACTACGGCTTCAATTCCATATCACTTCAAGATGGACTCGACTTCGCGACGGATGAGTCATCCGCAACTCAATTCGACAGGGAATTATTCTTTCAGAGTCAATTTTTCAAATCCACAGGACGAAAATTTATGTCTTTTTTATCTTTGTCCTATTTTTCGTTCCACGAAAAAGGACAAAGAGAGGCAGCTGTAGACACTCATTTTCGTCCATATTATATATATATATATAGTTTGCAAACGGTTTTTTGAAAAAACGTATATAATATATAGGTTTTAAAAAACATTTTTGAAAATGTATATAATATATAGTTTTTAAAACATTTTTGAAAACTACATAATATATAGTTTTTAAAACATTTTAGAAAATATATATAATATATAGTTTTTAAAATCTTTTTGAAAACTTATATAATATATAGTTTTGAAAACATTTTTTTGAAAACTTATATAATATTTTTTAAATCATTTTTGAAAATATAATATATAGTTTTGGAATTTTTTTAAAATATAATATATAATTTAAAAAAATATTTTTGAAATATATATATATATTATAATTTGGAATATATATTATTATTATTATTACTTTTTTTATTATCTTTTTTTATTTATTATTAATTCCTTATTTAACTTTTGTTTCTTTTTTCAGTCTAGGTTTGAATAAAAGGTCCAGACAGTCAAAAGTGGACCTGACCCAGCCCGTAACCAACGTCCAAAGAGCTAGGGTTTACACGAGATTGTCGACGGCGCCGCATAGGGAGTCAAAGGGTCATGAGCGAAACGGCCGGCCGTTATCCCGGGACTGACCCATCCCGGGATGACCGGTCACACATGCACGGGGAAATCGAAACAACCCCCTCATTTCAGGGCCAACAACAACCACACCGGGGCTATAAAAGCCCCCGGTGAGAGCACTGCCAGGGGGTCACCGAGAACCAATATCAACAAAACACGTTCGAACAGCAGAGCAAGGTACCCACATCATCGAGCCGCACAACCAAACACGATCGCAAACAAGCCAACAACAATCAAACCACCATAGAAATAACCTGAGAACAATCAAAGATTACACACATAGAATACAAAACCAACAACAAGGGAGCTCATGCGGCACAAGCGAAAAAACAAAAAAATTTGAAATGATACTTTGTAGATCTACGGACTCTGAGACGTTTCCAGGCAAAACGAAGCTCTAATTCGTATCCGGGGGTAAAAACGTGTCGAAATGTGACACCTTTTCGCTCCTCCGGCTTTGGTGAACGGCAGTTGTCGCCGGTCAGAGGCTGCCTAGGCGGTGGAGCTTCGCCGGATTCTGGGCTCGGTTCGAAGCTTTTGAGAGAACTCATTCCCCTCTCTCTCGTTTCTGGTTTTGAGGTAAGGAAGCAAATGAGAATAAGTATGGAAAATAAGCCTTGTGATAGGGCTTATATGCTAAAGACGAAACTACGTCGTTTTGACCCTAGACATTCCGTGTTTTTTTAACAAAAATGGGATAATATCCCTTTTATTCCCCCAGGCTTTGTAATCTGGACGTTTAATCATTTAATGGAATTTTGGATTTCTGTTTTGGGCATTCGTTCATTCTCCGTTTATATATTAGTCCTTTTTTATTTATTTATTTTTATTATTTTTATTATTTATTTTATTTTTTCTATATAACCATTTTTATTTTATTTCATTTTTATTTTTTTCATTATTATTATTGTTATTTTTTATCTTTATTTATTTTATTATTATCACGATATTTATTTATTTTATATTTTTATTTGTATTTATTTTCTTTTGACTTTTTTTATTTTCCTTTTTTTTCTTTCCATTCTTTCTTCTTTTTTTTCTTTTGACTTATTTATTTATTTTATTTCTATTTTATTTCTTTTTTTCCCTTTTGGTTTATTATTTTAGTATTTTATTTATTTGTTTGTTTTTACTTTTTTTGTTTTATTCTTGGATTTATTTAATATTTTATTATTATTATTATCTAACATTTTTTATTTTTTTAAAAAGAATGTCAGCCAATCAAAGTTAAGCAATTCGAACCGGATTTTTTAAATTTTAATTTTAATTTTAAATTTTCACAATTAAGACAACCGAAAAATTAATTGGTACCGAAATGGCGGTTCAAGGGTGCTAATCATTCCTTGATCGTAACCGACTCCCGAATCCGATACATTTCTGGTAAAACGCAGATCAGGTAAGATGGTGTCAGATCTACCTAAATATTTTTAAAACAGTCGGTGGCGACTCTAACCCAATTATTCAAGTTGAAGCCCAATTCCGGGCCCAACCGAAATACGGTTCCGACAATTAGTAATAAATATTTTTATATAAAATATTTGTATTTTACTACTATACAAGCGTGATGAATTTTTGTTATAATTAGTGGTTTACATCATATTTAAAATTAGTCAAAAGTAATCAAATCATAATTGGAATGGACGAATACATAGTCGACAGTTTCATTTTCGTACTTTTCACCAAGTCAAATTGCTCAACCAATTAGAACATGAAAGCAACAAATTAAAAGATGACGATGGGTTGCTTGCTTTCATCAATACGACGTTGATGAGTGGCGGTAAATTATCCAGGACTTTTCCCTTCAGCATATCATTAGGAACCAGAGTAAAGAAACTAGACTCGGATATTCATGAAATCAACACCCTCTTTTCATCTCTGAAATTAAATCTTTTGTTTTCATGGCAGATTACGAGTTGAGAAGATGATGATGTTTTTGTGCTGACAGAAGATAGAGAGCACAACTGAACATACCCAGAAAGAAGAGCCTGTGTATGAGCAGCCTTGTGCTCTCTTTTTCTTCTGTCAACCTAATTTTCTATCCTGCTTTCAATACATACCATGTTCTAGCTTCACCCCAGGTACGATGAAGATGATACCCCTAAAATCTGTTTATTTCAAGACTATATACATATACTTATGATATTGTTTTCACAATTTATACATGTTATTCAATCACCTTTGTATGACAACTTACATAGCTAGAGATTACATTACATTAATCCATACCGGAGTTCTGCTTGGATTTGGTCCTTAATTACCCAAATCACTCTTTGATTTTGTAAGTCTTGACTGTCACCAATGGTTGTGTTAGAGTCTGGATGAGTACTTTGACTATTCATTTTAAATTATGAGTCGCATACGACTAGTTTAAGGCTGTTTAGAATTATTCAATTCGGATAAAACCAACACTAAACTGCAGTTGCATGGTTTCATTACAACACCGAAAGTACAATCTCAACGGTATTAATAATCCGATTTATAGAGCAACACGCAGAGGTTGTCGCTTCATATAGCTTTCTTACCTATATATAACCAAACCCCAATACTATTAAAAGTACATTTCATTAGAGTATTATTTAACTCATCCCCGCTAAACAAGGATCCTTCTTAGTCTCTCTTTCCATTTGTATTTTCTCGCATACGTACATATTTGTACGTATGATTTTCGGCTAAGTTAAAAGCTAGCAGTGGGATCCAATCCTACAATTTAGTGCACCGGCTGTGGCCGTCATTGGACCCACAAGAGAAGACGGTCTAGCACTCAGACTCGAAGCCCTTGCATAGGTCGAAGTTGCACCTGCTCCAGTCTGCCTGAAGAAGGCTCCGTTCAACATCAAATCCCCCTCCGACCTCCAGTTCCAGCTTCTCCACTCGCTCTCCGGCGCATCCTCGTGTTTGGTCACCTACATATGATAATCATTTTTACATGACTGTATATGTACGAAATTCTTGACGATTTTTTTATGATTAGGTCTTCGAACCTAATTAATTACCTCTTTCATCGAACTGTCATCTGGTGCTAGAAATCGATTCCCTTGGCTGTTGATGGTAGGGTTTGCACTTCCACCGATGGCGTACATCTTCCAGTGTGTGTAATCGTTGTTCACCACATGAAAGTATCCGTGTCGGCACCTGTAATTTACAACTCATGAATACTGATAACGGACAAGAATCGGAACCACTAAGAAATTAAGGATTAGCTTACCTTGGCATTCTTTGTACCAGGCCTTCTCCGAAATGGTTAAAGGCAACAGTGACTTGCATATCTTTATCTTGTGTATACTCATCACTGTGTCCCAACAGCATGACTTTATCATGATTGGTCATGTAGTTGTTTGAGATGGTGACTGCAGTGGATCCATGGATGACATCAATCAGTCCATCCTGACAATTAGAGAGCGTACAATGGTCAACCCATATATTCTTGCTGTTAAAGATGGATACTCCATCACCATCCGATTGATCCCAATGGCCAGCATGCTCAGGTGAGTCTCTTATAGTGCTACTCCCTCCGGGCTTACAATCATGTATGTTGATCCCATGGATGATGATGTTCGATACGTAATGTATGGTAATGCATGGCCCTCCCGATATATGAACGCTCGCGCCTCGTCCGTCGATCGTCTTGTAAGAGTTCATCACCAACTCTTCTTTCAATGTAATCACCATGTCACTCTTGAATATGATCCACAATGGCTCGTCTTGGATCACAGCATGCCTTAATGTACCAGGTTTAGGGTTCAAGGGATCATCGTCTCCGGCATCCGTAACGACATAGATTCGACCATTTTTACCACCCATAGCATTCTTTCCGAATCCGATTCCACAATCAGCTAATTTCTGACGGTTGCGCTCCCAATTCGGGTCACACCTCCAACAATCATCAATTGGGTTCCCCGATCCACATGATAAGTAACCCAAGTTCCTCCTAGAAGCATTGATACTCCTACAAAACAAACACATATAAAAACGTTAGTCTTATAAATCCTGCATAAAACCGATAGCTAGAAGGGAAACGATAACTCGAGTCTCAACATATTACTTATGGACGTCGTCCACGACCGATTCGGGGTCTGGAACTGCGGAAGAATAAACAAGATATGGAACGAGGATGGAAATGAAGAGAATGTGAAAGACTGAAAATGTTGATAAATCCATTGTGTTAGTGGGAAAGAAGGAAGAGATGGCGGGTTAGCATAGCCATGCAGAATGGGGTTTATATAAAGGGTGAAAGCCGAGAGGTGTGGCGTGATTAGCCTAAATGAGTCGTAATTTGAGGGTTGTTCAGCCTTGGGAGTCATACGGGTAGTTTAAACCGTTAATCAAGCGTAAAGAAATCAAAAGAAGAGTTAAAAAAGTCAATTTTTATTGAATTTATTGAGCCTTGTATTTCAACTATGCAGTAGCCGTAATGCGTATACAGTATTTTTTATCTTCTGCCTACCTTAATGCATCAAACTTTCCAAATGCTGATACCAATTAACATTTTTCCCTTTTTACACGAAAAGAAGAAAATTTGGAATTTTGGTTGCGATAATATGATGCCAAAGAAAATAAGTGTTCAACCTTGATGGCTAATTGTTCCTTAATATCAGCAACAGAAACTCATAACATCATCGTTTTCAGATTTTTAATCACTTGCAGTAGAGTTAACAAATTATAACTTCACAAACAGAATTAAATGATTATCATTTGCTAGTTTTAGTTATCATTTTATATACAGACATAGAAATAATCTAATCCTGCTTATATATAGGCAGCCTTTCTCTTCCGTTGTGTGGAAGTGCCGGACGGTGTAACTTGCAGTGCAATACAATCGTGTTCAAAATTGTGCAAATTTTTTGTCTCCCAATTCAATTTCTGACATATATATATATATATAACTTTGTTTAATATATCCTACTACATGGCATTCAATTGTATTTGTAGGTATGAGCATGTTGTCAATTAATTAAAAAATAACTAAACAAATACTATCTTGTAAACAAATACTAAACATTGCAAATTTGTATCACATGGTTTAGCAAGTCAAATAAAAGCAACCAAAATTCTAAAGTTTCATGTAAAAGAAAAGTAAAATGTCAACTAGGATCAGCAATTTTTCCAGAAATGGTTGGCAAATCATGTTCCATTTTTCATGTGGAGCACATTATGGATCAAATTAAGATAGCTCCTTGTCTAATATTAATGTCATTTTCCTCAAAAATAAGACTGCCATTTATCAAAATCGAAATATGTTGAAATTGTTTTTATCAAGGTTTGGTTTGAGATTTAAATTAATATAAGTCGGCATTTCAGGTTTAGACACATGCAATAAAGTGTAGTTAAAATATTTTATTTTAAAAATATCAATTTGTCAAAAAAAATCAATATCAACGTTTATGTATTTAAACATGCTTAAATATAAATATATAATCAATAGCATGGATTAAAGTGACCTCTGTGATAAAAGAACTGTTATTTTTTCTTGAGGACCCGGATACGAGCATTATAGATGCCAGAGGAGTGAGCGATCAGTATATTTACCCCAGATTATTAAAAAAAACATGCTTAAATATAAACATAATCTTTCCAAATATATAATTAGGCAAATGGAAGGTAGGCAGAAGATAAAATTGCACGTTACGGTACTGTAGATGAAATACAGGGCTCAATAAATTCAACAAAATTGACTGTAATTCACGTGTATTTTTGAATTTCTTTACGCTTGATTACCGGTATAAACTACCTACATGACTCCTTAGGCTAAAAGACCCTGAAATTACGACTCTCTTAGACCCATTTGCTTAGGTTAATTACGCCATACATCTCGGCTTTCACACTTTATATAAACCCCATTCTGCATGGCTATGCTAACCCACCATCTCTTCCATCTTTCCCACTAACACAATGGATTTTTCAACATGTTCAGTCTTTCACGTTCTCTTCATTTCCCTCCTTGTTCCATATCTTGTTTCTTCTTCCGCAGTTCCAGACCCCGAATCCGTCGTGGACGACGTCCATAAGTAATATATCAACACTCGAGTTATCGTTTCCCTTCTAGCTATCCGTGTTATAAAGGATTTATAAGACTAACGTTTTACTATGTGTTTGTTTTGTAGGAGTATCAATGCTTCTAGGAGGAACTTGGGTTACTTATCATGTGGATCAGGGAACCCCATTGATGATTGTTGGAGGTGCGACCCGAATTGGGAGCGCAACCGTCAGAAGTTAGCTGACTGTGGAATTGGATTCGGAAAGAATGCTATGGGCGGTAAAAATGGTCGAATCTATGTCGTTACGGATGCCGGAGACGATGATCCCTTGAACCCTAAACCTGGTACATTAAGGCATGCTGTGATCCAAGACGAGCCATTGTGGATCATATTCAAGAGTGACATGGTGATTACATTGAAAGAAGAGTTGGTGATGAACTCTTACAAGACGATCGACGGACGAGGCACGAGCGTTCATATATCGGGAGGGCCATGCATTACCATACATTACGTATCGAACATCATCATCCATGGGATCAACATACATGATTGTAAGCCCGGAGGGAGTAGCACTATAAGAGACTCACCTGAGCATGCTGGCCATTGGGATCAATCGGATGGTGATGGAGTATCCATCTTTAACAGCAAGAATATATGGGTTGACCAGTGTACGCTCTCTAATTGTCAAGATGGACTGATTGATGTCATCCATGGATCCACTGCAGTCACCATCTCAAACAACTACATGACCAATCATGATAAAGTCATGCTGTTGGGACACAGTGATGAGTATACACAAGACAAAGACATGCAAGTCACTGTTGCCTTTAACCATTTCGGAGAAGGCCTGGTACAAAGAATGCCAAGGTAAGCTAATCCTTAATTTCTTAGTGGTTTCGATTCTCGTCCGTTATCAGTATTCATGGGTATTAAATTACAGGTGCCGACACGGATACTTTCATGTGGTGAACAACGATTACACACACTGGGAGATGTACGCCATCGGTGGAAGTGCAAACCCTACTATCAACAGCCAAGGGAATCGATTTCTAGCACCAGATGACAGTTCGAAGAAAGAGGTGATTAATTAAGTTCAAGACCTAATCATAAAAAAATCGTCAAGAATTTCGTACGTATACAGTAATGTAAAAATGATTATCATATGTAGGTGACCAAACACGAGGATGCGCCGGAAAGCGAGTGGAGAAGCTGGAACTGGAGATCGGAGGGGGATTTGATGTTGAACGGAGCCTTCTTCAGGCAGACCGGAGTTGGTGCAACTTCGACCTATGCAAGGGCTTCAAGTCTGAGTGCTAGACCGTCTTCTCTTGTGGGTCCAATGACGGCCACAGCCGGTGCACTAAATTGTAGGATTGGATCCCACTGCTAGCTTTTGACTTAGCCGAAAACCATACGTACAAATATGTACGTATGCGAGAAAATACAAATGGAAAGAGAGACTAAGAAGGATCCTTGTTTTAGCGGGGATGAGTTAAATAATACTCTAATGAAATGTACTTTTAATAGTATTGGGGTTTGGTCATATATAGGTAAGAATGTTATATGAAGAGACAACCTCTGCATGTTGCTCTATAAATCGGATTATTAATACCGTTGAGATTTTACTTTCGGTGTTGTAATGACAAAGTGCAACTGCAGTTTAGTGTTGGTTTTACTGTTATTTTCTTATGAATAGATAAAAGGACTTTGCACGATCATGATAGTGGCTTACTTTTTTTACGTGGGAGTAACCTCCACCGTTTGCGACGCGAATAGTTTACTGCAAAGATTAACTGAAAACTGGTTGGGAGAAATAATATTTAAAAGAAGTATACGAAAGACAATATTTTATGGAAATTCCAGGTGATGATTTATATGAAATTCTACAACAACAAGACGAGTGGTACCTTAAAAACATCGGCGGAACTAAGAATTTATTATAATAGGAATAAAAATATTTTTTATTTTCTATAAATATAATTTTTTAATTGAGGGGATCATGGTAATTTTTCTTTATTTATTTTTTTAAAAATATAGCTTTTTAAATATTAATTAATACTTAAAAAACAATTCACGAAGTTCCCCCTCTGCTTAAGAAGATCTTTATTGAAGTAAATCTATAATTGGAAAATATCGTTAAACTTGAGTGAGCAATCCGGACCTACTACAGCACTTCAAAAAAGAAATACAAAGAGAAAATCAATGAGTCTCCAGCTACTTCAAAAATAGAAAAGTACGTTCTATGTTGGAGATTTAGGACAGGTTTCTCACTGAAATAGAAAAGAAGTGAAGAAACAGAGCGTAATTTGGCTGTTTCATCCACTATTTTTTTCCTTTTTTATTTTCCATTGGCCTGAGAGCATCCAGATTATTTCGTTGAATGTTAGAAGTTTAAGGTCGGTGGTCAAATTATTTGATGTTAAAATCTAGTTGTTGACGATGACAACTGGTCCATGCTTTTGATTTAAATGAAGTTGATAATCAAACAATCATTGACGTCTATGAAAATCTTTTGTTCGTAGGATATTAAATTTCTTTATTTGTGAGGAAAAGGATGAAAGTTAAGGTTTTAAATGTCAAATTGTTAATCATTCTTTCTTCATCTTGATTTAGAAAATTTTTACTAACTTTTAGTGTTAATATCAACAGTAAAATCATGATGGATATTTATAAATTTACATAATATATAAATTCAATTTGATGTGTTCACTTATTATTTTATTTTAATAGATTACGAGGTCATATCAAAAGATCGCTTATTCTTTAAAGATACAAGAGTTTAAAGATCATACATCTGATGTTCTTTTAGGGTTTTAACTATAAAGGAATTATTTGGATATGTTGATGTGTTTAACAAAAATCAATCATACAAAAGAGATCACCTAGAACTGTTATGAACTTTAGGTTTATTGAGGAGTTTTTGACGAGAGAAGAGAGAGAAAGATTTTAGAAAGAAAAAAAATCTCCATTCAATAAAAAAAATTGTTTTATTTGTTTACAAGGTACTGAAGCTACTAGATATGTCATTGTCCTTGTCATAACAACTACAAACGGGAATTGCTTCAGTGTTTTATGAAGATAAGGGGGCATGAATAAGTGAGTTCTTTTCCCTCTTATTTTGTATCATTGATCTTATTTTACTCCCACGTAGGAGTTGTGCTATGAACATGAATCCGAATAAAACATTAAGGGTTGAATTTCCTAAAAGAACTCGTACACTACTTTTGATTCCTTTTACAATATTTTCGTGTGAAATATGAAATAACTCTATGAAGCAGAGATTTCAAGAGGAAGTGGAGTTGGCTCCTCTGTGCATAAACAGAACCAACTTGAGAAATATATCTTGTACCGGCCCTTTGCATCTACTTCTTCCTAATCTGAACTGCTCGGACACTTCTTTTTTATTAGGACATATGCGTTGAATCCATGTTTGGAAATGAGGATAGGAATATGACCAAGGACCCTGCAATATATGGAAAAACCTAGAAAATCCTTATTGCCCATGCTTTTACTTGACACTGAAACCCGAGTCCAAGTAAGTTTCTAGTCGCACACCGTTAGTTCCGCCGTGTTATATGCTGTACTTGTAAAGCTAGAAGTAAAGAAATTAGTGATGGAAACCCACCTTATGTCGTTAATGTTGTTCATCATTTACTTCAACTTAGTTATGGCGTTTCCAATATGGTTTCCAGTGATTTATGTGTTGGTTTTAAAGGACTGTGTCAGAAGAAGAGTTTTGAAATCATTGAGCGTGAACCCCTTCTGCTCCGAAACAGCCGCGAAGGATGCCATGGAAGCCGTGTGGGATATCTGTTACGATGACACGAGGCCCTTTGACAGAGCTCCTTGAAATCCAGTCGATTGTTTCTCCTTCAAATGATTCTGGAATAAATCCTTTGGTGTGTCCTAGAATAGGAACATACCTTGGTTCTTCAACTGCAATCGAAAGGAAAACTCATATCTCGATGAGAAAAAATTTTCTCCTCTGGTAGATGACAAGAAATTTTACACCAAGATGTGGTTAAGAAACTAAGAATTCCTCATTATATTCAACTGTTCCCTTTTGCAAATTCATTATACCAAATTTCATTTTACACCATCTTCCTTGACGCCACTGCTTTCTTCTTTCTTTTCTCTTACAGATTGATATTTTTATTTTTATTTTCTTTCAGAACTAATTTTATTGTATCATCATTAATGTGTGGGTTCATTTGGTAAAACTTTCTAAAAGCATTTTTAGTTAAAAAAAATTCGTTTTCTATAGCAAATGGGTAAAAAAACAATTGTGGTTGAAGAGGTAATTTTAAACAAATTGCAGAAGTTAAGATTTCTAGCATTTTTATTTTCAACTTATTTTTAAAAGCAAATTATAACTCTACCCTTACTAATGCATGGTTTCATTTAATTACGTTTATATTTTATTTTAAAAATTTAATATTAACATCTTTAAAAAATAATTTATTACTTTTAATAAATTATTTTAATTATTTAAAAATAAATAAAATTTATGATTTATATATATTAAAATATTAATATTGAATTATATAAAATATATTTTTATTATAATTATATTTTTCATTTCCATTTTTTATTTTTTATATCTTTTTATAGTTTAAATTAATATAATTCACATATAATAATAAATTTTTTGAATTTATTAATAGTTTAAATTGATATGATTCATGTATAAGTGTAAATTTAGTTTAAATGACCATCCATCTCGGTTGGTAGAGCACAAGGTTCTTAACCTTGAGGTGTGGGATCGAGTCCCATGGAGGGCATTTCATAATTTAGAGGTCTTCTACGGAAGCTGCTCTCAACCTAGTGTTGGGGCAGCCTACTATCTTACCTCCCCTTATCCCATTACATATGGGAACAAGGGACATCCATTTTATTTTTAATTTACAACATAATATATATAATGAATATTTTATCTTTTAAAACTCACTTTTTAATATTAATTTCAACAATTAAATTTTAAACTGCACTTTCAACAACACTTTTAAAAATTTATTTTTATAATATTTTTAAAAATCAATTTTCAAAAGTTATACTAAACTCAACCTAATTAGTTTTAATATAGTCACTTACTATTACTATTTGACAGAAATAATAATTTGATAATTAATAAAATTGGAATAATTTTATATTTGATCATCCGTTCTTACATTATGCCACCTGAGGGAGTTGTACCAAGGATCTAAAGTTGTGGGAATGCATGCCTGGCTAAACCCAACATTTACTTCTACTTTGTTCAATATTTTTATTTGTCATAATTTAACGTTATATATAAGGGGTAGGATCCTCTTATATGTAAAACTAATAAGTAAAATTAGATTTAAACAAATAAATAGCGTAAATTTAATTAAAATCTATAATTTATAAATAAATATTTTTAACTCACAATAAAAAATATCTTTTTATTCCAGTACTAAATCTTAAAACATAAACCCTAAAATCCCAAATCTTAAACTCTAACATTAAAAAAAATTGTTGTAATATGAGTTAAAAATATTTATTTATGAGTTATAAATTTTAATTAAATCTAAATTATTCATTTATTTAAATCTCATGACTATAAATTAATGTAAAACTTATTAGTTTTAGTGTAAGTGGTCCTATTGATAAAAAATTTACTATTTTTTTACTATCATTTTATTATGTTATTGACTTTTCTACATAATAAAATTATCAATTAAAGAGGCGTTTTTCCTATATATCACCCATTGGTTTTATTTTTCTCTGTCAAGCATCGTTCAGACTATATTTCTCAATCTAACACCCTTTGTAATAAGGCGCTCCCATTACAGTGCGCTTTACGTTAATCTGGCGTAACGTGGGGTAAGGTGCCCCTGAAGTGCGCCTTATGATGACATGAATACACATGTGTAAATCACGACCCCTGGGGCGCTCCTTACGCCACGTAGGGCTATAGCGCGGGGTAGGAGCCACGCCTTACCTTTAAATCTAACACAATTATGTTAAGCTCGACATATCTCCCTGTACAGGAAAGTCAAAACTGCCGAGCCCCAATTGAGTGATCCGACCAGACTAAAGTCGCTAAGATGTCGCAACCACATACAGTGAACTTGGTTGCACGATTTGTCCGGCATCAGCAACCCTCCTATTAGCTGCAGTATGCATGGTCGTGCATATATTTTAACTTCATCATCAGAGGCGTCCTCGCTCAACTCCCGAAAATTGGCATCTAACCAATTTAACAGTATCTGACCATCGTTAAAACTTTCCAGGACACGTCCTAGATATTCCCGGCACAAAGCAATCCAGAAACCGTGTGCCATCCCTGATATCACATCTCCATCCATCGGAAGCCCCAAGTGCATAGAAATATCCTCAAGTGTAATCGTGCACTCTCCGCACGGAAGATAGAATGTGTGGGTTTCCGGTCTCCACCGCTCCACTAAGGCAGCAATAAGGTCTGGTTCTATCTTACAGTGACCCTTATATCTACCTATGTGACCGAATCTAGCCTCTACTAAATACAGTAAGACACGACTAGGTATCACTAACTTAAGGTTCCTAATAAAATGATCTAATACACGATCTCCCTCCTAAAATTAAATAACTACAAAAATTAATTTTTAAACTAATAATCATACATTAAATAAATAAATTAATTATTACTAATGATTTAAATTAAATTAAAACGTTTAAATGTTCTGTATCAGCAAAATGTCGAGATATGATTTCTATCCAAGCAAAGTAGATCGCCTTTCATTTTATATCTGCAAAAAATTTAATTAAATAAAATATTAAAAAATTTAAATACTTAAATAAATTCAAACAAAATACTAAATATAATAAAATATACCTTAAACAGTTATAAGAGAATATAAGAGTATTTGAGAGAAGTTGAGAGGATTTGGTGTGATGAAAGTGATTGAGAATGGGGGATTTATAAGAAGGGATGAGGGTGTGAACGGCCGGGGTAGGTGAGCAATTAAACCTAAGGCACGTCGCAGGGGTACGTCTTTCTACCGTGTGTCAGATTTAAAGTTAAGGTAAGGTCCCTGTTCCGCGCTATACTCTACGTGGTATAAGGAGCGTCAGACTACGCTTTACACACGTGCATTCTATGTCAGCATAAGACGCGTTTCAGTGTAAAGTACGCTGCAAGGGACGCACCTTACTGCAAAGGGTGTTAAATCAAAAAAATATAATTTAAACGGTACCTAACGAAAAAAAAAATAAAAGGGTAATATATCAAGAAAAACGCCAATTAAAGAAACTAAAATAGAAAATAAAAATCAAATAAAAACAAAAGTGAGAAACAGTTCGTTCCGAGAGAGAGAAACCAGCATAGAATACATCGCCCAATTGAACAGAACATAAAAGATAAGCACAAACACACACGCGCGCGCACTTGTTTCATAGCTTCTGACGATAACGTGTCAGTGTCATCTCCGCCCCTCACGCTCTGTCTTTTTTCTTTCCAGTATTATTTCTTCTTCTTCTTGATTTCCTTTCATATTTTCTTTCTCGAATTCCTCGCATTTCTCTTTCAATGGCCCCTGCTTTCGAACAAGTCCCAACAGACACTGAAACCCAAACCGAAGCACCCCATAACGCGTCTAACACTGTAAACAATGATGATGCTCAAGCAGATCACAAATCAAGGGTCGCTGTTGTTGGTAGTGGCAATTGGGGCAGTGTTGCCGCTAAGCTCATTGCTTCAAACACCCTCAAGCTCAACTCTTTTCATGGTTTACTATTCACTCATCGTTTTTATATTCTTCCTTTCCTTTGTTCATATGGATGAATAGTTTAACGCTTTGGATAATTTGCGCTTGATTTTGAATTTCTTGTGTGAAAATTCAGATGAAGTTAGGATGTGGGTGTTTGAGGAGACATTGCAATGTGGTGAGAAGCTTACAGATGTCATTAATAGAACTAATGTGAGCATTTAATGACGTTTTATTTGCAATTTATTTGTTTGTTTAAATGTCTCAATAATGACTGCTCTGATTTTCTTTTTTGTTTCAATAGGAGAATGCTAAATATCTCCCTGGTATTAAACTTGGTAAAAATGTCATTGCAGATCCAGACCTCGAAAATGCAGGTACTTATTTTGCTGTTTTCTTGGGATTTCTTGTATTATTATTATTATTATTTTGATTTGTGGACTTTTGAGTGCTTATTTTTCGGGTTGCTTCGACTCTTTATTCTTCTTGAGCTACTCGAGTTAGAGTAAGATAGCTTGTATTGTACTAAGGGTTAGATGTTCATTTTGTTGATACTGGAAATTATGCAGTTAAAGATGCAAACTTGTTGGTTTTTGTGACACCCCATCAATTCATGGAGGGTATATGCAAGAGGCTTGTTGGTAAAGTGAGGGAAGATGCTGAGGCTATTTCACTTATTAAAGGGATGGAGGTTAAGATGGAAGGCCCTTGCATGATCTCCACTCTTATTTCTGAGCAGCTCGGCATCAACTGTTCCGTTCTGATGGGGGCGAATATCGCGAACGAGGTAATCGGCTTTTTTTATTTTTAGAAGGTCACATGCATTGCCAATTTGCCATTTGTCTTCTCAAAAGTAATTGGTTGAGTATGTAGATTGCTGTGGAGAAGTTCAGTGAAGCAACGGTCGGGTACCGAGACAAGCGAGAGATTGCGGAACAATGGGTCCGCTTATTCAGTACTCCATATTTCATTGTCACTCCTGTGAGTACCATTAATGTGTCTTTTCTATCGAGTCTCAATTAAACATCGAACTTATAGATTGGTTTACAGTTACAACTGCTTATTGTATAAGTTTAAATTTTAATGGCCGGATTAAATGCTATGATGAATCATTCAATAGGAAGATATCATAAAAGAATGAGTTCTATTTTCTGCCTTTTGTGTTTCATGGAAAACAGGTTCAGGATGTTGAAGGGGTTGAACTATGCGGCACATTGAAGAATATTGTGGCCATAGCAGCCGGTACGATCGCAATAATGTCCAAGTTTGGTTTTAATCCCTCTAATTCCGCTTGTGAACTAATATCAATCCTACTACCAAATGCTAGGTTTTGTGGACGGACTCGACATGGGAAATAACACAAAGGTTAGTCCATATGGTTTTCAACATCGTTCTTACTATTCTAAATGTCTCGTTTCTCACTGTTGCTGCAAACTATCAGGCTGCTATAATGCGAATTGGTCTGAGAGAGATGATAGCTTTCTCCAAGTTGTTGTTTTCATCTGTTAGGGACAGTACCTTCTTCGAAAGCTGTGGAGTTGCTGATGTCATCACAACATGTTGTAAGAAACCGATATCTTTGGGTTAAGATCCTGTCAGTTACAGATAGAAAATAATGAAAAGGGAGCTTGACTCGATGTCTTTGTACCTTCTGTTTGAAACAATTAGTCTTATTTTGATACTGAAACCATGCCATTTGTTGGCAGTAGGAGGAAGAAACAGAAAAGTTGCTGAGGCATTTGCTAAGAACGGAGGAAGAAGGTTTGCCTTAACTTATATTTATCTGGTTATTCATTTCTTTTCTTGCAGTAACCATATTTGACACCCATGTCCAACATATTTTGACACGGTTATTGGGATATACTCCTTCAAATATATGAAAATTCTTGGAAAAAAGATTATTGTACCCATATCGGACACATACCATTATCCTATGTTTTTCTCAAGACTCGAGGTGAGTGCCAAATATGTTAGAAAATTTTATCATATTGCTTCTCATCTGCAGATCTTTTGATGAGCTTGAAGCTGAGATGTTGCAGGGCCAGAAATTACAGGTAGATCTTAAAATAATTATGATCCTTAAAATAAAGCAAAAACGGGATTTGGAAAATAATACTCGGCTGTAGTGCAAATAATAAACAAATTTATATCTAAAAACGCCTTGTACGGTATGGATATTACTGAAAAATGCAAATATCCTGTCCTGTCGATCAGAAAGTTAGAAAATGTTGAGTTGTTCTCTAAGATGCTTTTGGATACTTAGTTTGTTGATATTGAATTAATCTCTTTTTTCTATCTAGGGTGTATCCACAGCTAGAGAGGTGTATGAAGTTTTAAGCCACCGTGGATGGCTGGAACTGTTTCCACTATTTGCGACAGTACATGAGATCTGTGTCGGTCACCTTGCACCATCCGCCGTAGTTGAACATAGCGAGACAAAGTTATCCCTGTTTTAAAATTCCACCAGCTAAACATCGAGTTTTATCGGTTTCAGTTCACCTAAGTAGCTTTCTTTGGTTGCTCATCATCGGTCAGCGAGTATGAACGAGGGAAGACTGAACTGAAAGCTTAGTGAGGGTAATTCAAGCAAAATGTCGTCGTGCCAGTGATTGTTCTCTTATAATATGGTTAGATGAACATGGTTATATAGTGCCATGCAGCCTACGTAATAATAAGCAAAGTGTTGAAATCAGATTGCAAACACTTCTGCATGCATTTTACTTTTCTTTTACACTAAAGTATCACCCTGTTCTTATTCTATCCAACCGATCAAAGCTTTTGTGAGCTCTTCCAATTGATGATTGATGCTTTTCCTTGGCAGTCCACACTCCTCAGATACCTTTCTGATTGATCGAAAGAGATTCGTAGTTTGTCTAGCTTATCCATGTTATTAGTCTGATTCTTCATCTTCTCAGGCCTGCTAGTACTCTTCCTCGGTTTCTCTCTTAGATCAGTACTCTTCCTCACAACATCAAATACGTCCGTACATGGGGCTGCTCCAATTGGTCAGTGCTTCTCCTCGAACTGTACCTTTGAGAAGGAGATTTCTCGACGGTTGATTATAGATCGCAATGGTTCCCTCCTTCGAGCCACAGTGGCTCGTGCTTCTCTTTACATAGTTCCCAGAGCTGCTTCCTGTGAGAACAATCGACAACTTCATCCGAAATTCCCTACACAATGATATAAAAACACGGATCTCAAAAGCAATAATTGTGGTATTTGATATCATGTTAACTAAACTTTTGTTGTGGGTAAACTGCAAACAATCTTCCGAACAGTTACCATTTCATGTACATATTACTTACATGAATGATAAGAACAGGACAATTGAGGAGTGGTATTTTATCGATACTCTGCACACAAACAACCCTTAAAACGAAATCATAATATTATAAGTAGTCTCAGTGTTAAAAAAGAATGTCATTCTTTTTAAAATATTTATACTCAAACAATTACGTTTGCAGTGTGTGCACGTTTCTAATGACTAAAAAAGATTCCGAATAAATACTCGCATAATATACCATATAAAATAGTTTCAAACTTGTATAAAGGCGAGTTGTTGACGAAAACGGGTAAAGAAAACGAAAGAACACGAGAATTTTACGAGGTTCGGCAATGTGCTTACGTCCTCGGTGCCTAGGCGGCGCTAGAAGTTTTATTCAATGATTTTTTTTTTTAGGTCTAGGTTACATCTCTATTTATAATAGAAAACTCTGGTACATAATTACAAAATCAACCCTGTACCGTACCGCGGGGGCTGCGCCCCCACACCCCCAACCCACATAATTCGTAACCCCACAACGAGACTTTTATGAGCCATACATAACAAATCTCCACCTTGGCGAATATCCTGCCCCTTGGAAACTTCAATGTGGGTTGGGTTACCTTGCTTCTTTAACAACTCGAAACATTCAACAAGTCCAAGCAATGCTTGAACTTGTCTGTCGTAACTGGCTTGGTGAACATATCAGCGGCATTCTCATCAGTATGTACCTTCTGAAACAAAACCTCTCCAGATGCAACCAACTCTCTGATCTTGTGGAACCTTACATCAATATGTTTAGTTCTAGCACGATACACCTGATTCTTAGCCAAGTGAATAGCACTTTGATTATCACAAAGCAACTGAACTCCACCTTGTTGAACACCCAACTCCTTCACTAAACCAGTAAGCCATAAAGCTTCTTTTGCAGCTTCAGCCGCTGCCATGTATTCAGCTTCAGTTGTAGATAGTGCCACGACAGATTGAACAGTAGACTTCCAGCAAATAGGCCCTCCACCAAGAGTAAACACATACCCTGTCGTAGATCTTCTATTATCCAAGTCACCTGCATAATCTGAATCCACATATCCTACAACCAAAGGGTTATCCCGCTGACTCCCAAAAACAATTCCATGTCCCACAGTACCCTTTAAGTACCGAAAGATCCACTTGACTGCTTCCCAATGTTGCTTACCAGGTTTAGACATGTACTTACAAACTTGACTAACAGCATGAGCTAAATCAGGACGAGTACATACCATCGCATACATCAAGCAGCCAACAGCATTAGAATACGGAACCTTTGCCATATCTTCAGCTTCCTTATCTGTCTTGGGGCACTGTTCTGATGAGAGCTTAAAGTGATTCGCCAATGGAGTGCTAACTGGTTTTGCGCTGCTCATCGCAAACCTTTCTAGCATTTTCTCAACATAACCCCGTTGAGATAGCCGCAGTTTCCTTGAGTCTCTGTCCCTGCAAATTTCCATTCCAAGATTTTTCTTTGCAGCACCTAAATCTTTCATATCAAATTCCTGACTCAATAAAGTTTTCAAACCGATAACATCATCCATGTTCTTCGCAGCAATCAACATATCATCAACATACAGTAATAGAAAAATAAAAGAACCATCATCAAGGCTCTTAACATAGACACAACAATCATACTCACATCGGTTGTAGCCAATCTTGATCATATAGGAGTCAAACCGTTTATACCACTGTCTCGGAGACTGTTTTAACCCGTACAAAGATTTCTTCAATCTGCAAACTAAATGTTCGTTTCCAGGTTGAGTGAAACCTTCAGGTTGCCGCATGTAGATCTGCTCCTCTAAATCACCATGCAAAAAAGCAGTTTTAACATCCATCTGCTCTAAATGCAAATCCCAACTAGCCACCAATGCAAGTACTGCTCGGATTGAAGTGTGCCTGACCACAGGAGAAAAGATTTCATCATAATCAACTCCTTTCTGCTGTGAAAAACCCTTCGCTACCAAACGAGCCTTGAACTTCTCCCCTCTTTTTCTGTTACTGCTGGTTTCTTCTTATACACCCATTTGCAACCAATCGGCTTCTTACCCTCAGGAAGGGGAACTAACTCCCATGTGCGATTGTGATTCAAAGACTCCATCTCCTCAACCATGGCTGCCATCCACTTGTCGTTTTCCTGACTAGTAACGGCATCATGAAAAGTAACTGGATCATCACTGCTAACAGTAAGTGCAAAAGATACCAAGTCTTCAAAACCCAATCTGTTCGGAGGCTTTATATTCGTCCGTCTCACCCTGTCTCTGGCGAGACTATAATCCTGCAAATCATCCGTAGTGGAACCACCAGAAGTCGGTTGAGAAGTTTCTGGTTTCTCAACTGGAAACTGCTCGAAATCTACCACTGTCGTGTCTTGCTTCTGCTGCAACATAGACTGTTCATCAAAAACGACATCTCTACTAATCACAACTTTCTTCGCAACTGGATCCCAGAACTTGAATCCTTTGACACCTTTCTTGTAACCCAGAAAATGCACTCCTTCGATTTTGCATCAAGTTTGGATCTCTCATCAGCAGGTACATGCACATAAGCAGGACAACCAAAAATCCGTAAGTTATCAAAACTAACATCATGACCAGTCCATACCTCTTCTGCAACTTTCCCAGCCAGCGATGCCCTTGGCGATATGTTGATAAGGTAACACGCCATGTTAACAGCCTCAGCCCAGAAGTGTTTGGGAAGCCCCGCATTCAACCGCAAACATCTGGCTCTTTCATTCAACGACCTGTTCATTCGTTCCGCAACACCATTCTGTTGTGGTGTCTTGCGCACTGTAAAATGCCTCTGAATCCCATGCTCCTTACAGAATTGTAGGAACTGTGAATCTGTGTACTCCGTACCATTGTCAGACCGCAAACACTTGATTTTCGTCCTGTTTGGTTTTCTACCTCAGCTTTCCACAGCTTGAACTTCTCAAAAACTTCATATTTCTGTTTCAAAAAATACACCCAAACTTTCCGTGAAAAATCATCAATAAAAGTAACATAGTACCTAGATCCACCCAAAGACGATGTCGTGGAAGGCCCCCATACATCAGAATGCACATAATCAAGAATCCCTTGAGTTGTGTGCTTCGCAGTCTTGAAACGGACTTTAGTCTGTTTACCAAGAACACAATACTTGCAAAAATCGAGCTTACAGCTTTTGACACCATGCAACAAGTTTCTCTTGTGTAATTCTGCCATACCACGTTCACTAAGATGAGCAAGGCGCATATGCCACAATTTTGTCGTATCATCACAGGACTCAACAGAGTGAACTCCACTTGCAACGGTACTCCCTAACAATCTGTAGATATTCCCTGCAGTCATCTTGCCTTTCATCACAGTCAATGCTCCTTTAACAATCCGAATGGTTTCCCTATCCTCGTCAGCCTTAGGGATAAAACCATTCTTGTGCAAAGTGCCCAAGGAAATCAAATTCTTCTTCAAGTCTGGGATATGTCGAACACCACTCAACGTCCGAACGGAGCCATTGTGCATCTTAATTCTGACATCACCAATACCAACAATATTACAACATCGATCATCACCCAAATAAACCGAACCAGAATTAACCGGCCTGTATGTCGAAAACCATTCCCTATTTGGCGTGATGTGATAAGAACATCCAGAATCAAGAATCCAAGCATCCGTCAATTGTGTCGTTGAAATAGAAAGCATATCACCCTCACTGCAATCAGAAGTATCATCCTCGACCACGTTCACAGACTTAGATGAGCCATCACGCTTCTCATCGGTCTGCTTTTTCAACTTCGGACAGTCTCGCTTCATATGTCCCGCCTCCTTGCACTTGTAACAGTGAATCGTCTTCTTATCCCTGGATTTGGATCTGGAATTCCGCTTCCCGGACCCTGCCTTCTCTGGCTTCCGTCCACGATCTCGATTACCCTTGACATATAAGCTATCGGCTTGAGAGCTTTCCCCTGCATTCTGCTTCCGCTGGTTGTGAGCCAACAAGGCTGCAGTAATCTCCTCAACGTTGATAGTCTCTTTCCCATATGTAAGAGTAGTCACCATGTGTTCGTAAGAGGAAGGCAACGAACACAACAGAATCATCGCTCTGTCTTCATCCTCAATTTTCACATCAAGCCGAGCCAGATCAGAAACGATTTGATTGAAGACATTCACGTGTTGCGCCAAATCGTGATCGTCCTGCATCTTCAGCCCATACAGCCGCTGCTTCAGATACAGTTTTGTCGTTAAGGATTTGGACATAAACTGACTTTCCAACTTCCTCCAAATTTCGTCTGGAGACGATAGATGCATGACGTGATACATGACCTCGTCCGCCAAGCATAATCGTATGGTTCCTGCCGCTCGCTGCTGCAATTCTTCCCAATCTTCCTCATCCATCGACGTCGGCTTTGTAGGTCGTAAAGCCTT